TCAGAAAACATGTATGGCAAATTTTCTTCACAAATCATTTCGGCCATTTTTTGCTTATTTTGCTCGTCGCTATAAGCAAAAAGGCCGCCCTTACCTCTGTTAGCAAACCGAGAAATTTGGGTTTGCACTTCTTGTCGTCCCTTCTTTTTTGCCTCGTATTTGGCAAACTCCACGGGATGCCTCGACCTTAGGTGTTTTTCCGGACCGCCATAACCGCCGGAGACTCCCATTTTTATGACGGTCCCACAATGTTTACAAGTTCCATAAACTACGGCATCTTTTGTTTCTTTGTCAAGATGATAAACAAATAACTCTGATTTATATTTTTTTACCTTTATCCGGACCTCGAGAGGTCGCGGGCTCACCTGCCTCCACGTCGACGTCGTTGCTCTGCGGTGTAGGCTCCTCGTCCCCGTCCAGATTATCCAGATTTGCTTCATCAAGATCTTCGAATACACTATCAAGAGTGGGGAGATTTGCGTCCCCTCTACCAGAATAAATCTGGTCGAATTCTTCATCCGTCATAGCGTCCCCGATTAAGTGATCGGGGATAGTAAGAAAGGAAGAGACGGAGTGTCTTCCTCGAGAAACGCGTGAGGTCGAACCGTCCGAGGTGGCTTTAGCTTTGCCTCTCCTCGAACTTCGTTTCACAGCGCCCATATCCACGGACCTTCTACCGGACTCTCTCGACATTTTAATATATACCCGGAGTATATTTTTTGATATAAAAAAAATAATATATTAAATTTTGAAACTTTAAAAAAATTCGAAATTTTATATATTAAAATTTCGAAATTTTTTTAAAAAATAGAAAATATATTTAAATTATTTAAAGATTAAAGAATATATTTAAAAATTAATAATATTTTAAATTTCGAAAATTTTGAAAAAATTTCGAAATTTTATATATTAAAATTTCGAAAATTTCAAAATTTTAATGTATAAAAATTTTATATTATTATATGAATATTAAATGTATAAAGATTAAAAAGAGATAATAAGATTGAGAGATTGATAAATTGAGAGAATGAGAGAATGAGAGATGGATTGAGAAATTGAGTGATTTTTTAGGAAAAAATTGTGAGAATTTATAGTTTCCCCCCCCCCTCCCCTCTTCCCCTCCCCCACCTCAACGGCTAAATAGCCATTTGAGGTGCCCCACTAATTTTTTTCCTGTTTTTTGCAGGTTGAAGCCGTTGGGAGCAGCAAAAAAAAAAAAAGAAAAAAAAAGGAACCGGGTACCGGAACCGGACCGGTACTGGCGGTACCCGTACCAAAAAATAGGTACCGGAACCGGTACCGAAATGGGCGGTACCGGTACCGGTGACACGGCGGCGACGGCGGTAACGGTGGCGGGTACCGGCGGTACCGTTGCCGGTCACGGTACCGTACCGGTACCGTGTCCACCCCTAATTATACGTGTAATGTCCGTTTTGTGTTCGTTCTCTTTTTAATTTTGTTTCGGGTTTTTAGCAATGTTTTTTTGTGTTACCCAAGTTGGAAAAGTTTATCTTTTGAGCTTGTTTTCCCACATTTTATCAAAAAAACAAAAAAATAAGAAAAATATGAAAAACCAAAAAATATTTACTTTTCATCCAACCCCCCCTTTGTGCTTTAAGTTATACTCCATCCGTCCGGAAATGATGTTCCCATTCTACTCTCTTTTTTGTCCGGAAATGATGTTCTCACTCTACGCTTTTCTCTCTATTCTTCCAAAACTACCCTCATCTTCCTTTCCTCCTTTTTTTCCTTTCTCCTTTTCCCTTCGTTTCTTTTCTTTTTTTGGCTCGGCCACCATTTTCTCTTCCTTTCTTCCTTTCCTTCTTTCTTTCTCAATTCCCTACCCATCACTTTCTCTTTCATCTCCTCCTCTTCCTCCCTCTCTTCTCTTTCTCCCCCTTTGTCTTTCTTTTTCTTTCTTCCCCTTCTTCTTTCTCCTCCAATTTCTTCTAGATTTGCAAACGGCGGTGATGGTGGCGGTGACGACGACGGTGACGACGGAGGTTGTGGCAATGGTGAAAGTGATGGCGGTGGTAAGTCTGGATAGATCTTCTCTTCTTCTTTTCTTTCCTCTTATTCTTTCTTTTAGATCTGTGGCGGCGATGGCAGGGCTGTGACGGCGGTGGTCGTGGTAGATCTGGCTCTTTATCTTCAGCGGAGATCCGGCTATTTCTTCCACTTCTTCTTTCTTTCTTTTCCGTTTCTCTCTCCCATATATGGCGCTGTTTGCAACTGTGGGAATGGTGGTGGGGGCTGGTAGGGTTGACGGAGCGAACGACGGC